AAAACAGCAGTCGGCCATTTTGAAACCGCCAATCAGCTGTTAAAAAAGCATTGCTTTGCCATGATCAGTTCCCCAAGCAGGAAACCGATCATGGCAAAGCACCGTCAGCCAGCCAGCCCAGGAGACACCGGGCGTCCTTTAGCGGCGGGTGAATGAGGGCTCGGGAGGAGGGCCGCCAGAACACCCGGGCCTTGCCCTGCCTCCCGGCTCTCCCCGAGCCACCCCTCACCTCCGTCTCCGCCGCCGGCGCCGGGAGGAGAGCCGCCGGAACACCCGGGCCTTGCCCTGATTCCCGGCTCTCCCCGAGCCACCCCTCACCCCCGTCTCCGCCGCCAGCGGCAGGAGGAAGACCGCCAGAACACCCGGGCCTTGCCCTGTCTCCCGGCTCTCCTCCAACCACCGCCTCACCCCTGTCTCCGAAGCCCCCGCCGGTCAGCTGGGGGAAGGTATGGGGAAAAATCGCAAAGCGTTTTTTCCCCATAGGGAACATCGCAATGCGATCGCAAAAGCGATCACAAAATCTTCATCGGTATGCGGATTCGTCATTAAACGGGGCGCCTGTTAAGCGAGGCACCACTGTAATTGATTCCAGTGTTGTACTACTCTAACAGTTTTTTTCCTGATATAAATCTGGCTTCCTGTAGCTTGTTCCCCTTATTGTGCCCTTAGTGTCTGGGATGATTGAAAACAGATCCTGCCCCTCCTCTGTATGACTGTGTTTTAAGTACAGTAGAACCCCCATATCCATGAGATCAGTATCTGTGGTTTTACTTATCCATGGACTAAAAATAGTAAAAGAAAAAAATCCAGAAAAACTATTTTCACAGGCCAGAACCAGCCACTAGAGGGAGCCAGAGACCCTGCTAATGATATTTGTTAGACAGTTAGTGAATACATAGCATGGTCTCTGGTACCCTCTAGTGACCAGTTGTGGTAATGCCAAGCTCTCTATGTAGTGTTCACTATTGTCTGCAGTTTTCAGTATCTGCAGGAGGCTGGAAACAAAATCGTAGAGGATATGGGGATCCTACGGTATTTAAAAGTGCTATGGTATTTCCTCTTTTCTCAAGGCTAAAGTTTACTTCGCTGCTAGTTTTACCAGTGTTGCCTTCATATCTGCTGCCTCTTGGTTCACTCACTCAGACACACTTCATGGCTATACAGTACCCACAGGACAACATTCCCTAGTACTGGAGAAACAATAATATTCACTCTCATTGCTGGACTTGAAACTGACATCAGCACATTAATTTTCACAATATCAACCATGGTATCCACGAATATGTCTTTGTATCGGCCACAGTACATCCTTAGTATTGAGCATGGATTCAACATCTTTAGTATCGTCCATGGATTGTTTCTATTTCCTGTTTTGCTATTGAAACTCAGACTGTGGCACCCCATATAATCCCAGTATTACCCTCTTTGTTTCATGTGGCATAACAGTCTCTGAAACCATATACCTATAAAAGGTATGTGAAAAGGATTGTCAGTTTTTATTCACACCTCCCTATCCAAACTCTATCATAGTAGATGCTACTCAGTAAAGAGTAGCTTGAACAAAGCCACAATTGAGGATCTCCCTTTTGACAAGCAAGGCCTGTCAGTGCAAAAACATTTGAAGGTCTGGACCAAAGCATTGAGGCCTGCAGATCTTGTGCAAGGCATTGAGGCCTGCAGCTGTAGACATTATTACCACAACCTCACTTCAAGCAGAGACAGTCCCAATCATATAATCAACAGAGATTTTATAGGACTCCATTCTATAAACCAAACATACATCTTTCATCTCACACCACCTCTGGCACATACTCTGCTTATACACAGAGCCAGTTCAAATAACTGAGAGGAAGCCACCTTGAACTTCCAAATCTTGTCTTTCATGCTTGCTGCTTCCATCTACTCACCACGAGAACACCTTTTGGGGACAGACTTCATACATCATTGTCACCTCTGGCAACAGTAATATGCAACTCTTCGGTAATAAAAATAATTTCTTCTGGTTATGTCATAAAGTTTCAAGCACTACCACCTTCCAGCATCACTGAAACCACTGACTTTCCAGCCTATGTCCAGAAATACCATCTATATAAGATACAAGGCCTTTCCACCAGTATTACACAAAGTCACTTCACTCTTAAGGAAAGGAGCAATAGAATCAGAATAATAAAATAATTGAATTTGAAGTGGTGTATGAGGACATTGAGTTGAACTCTCTGCTCAACGCAGGAATCCAAACCAAAGTAGATCTGACAGATGGTTGTTCAATTTTCTCTTGAATGCCTCTAACATTGGAACATTTACCACTTCCTGAGATACAGTGGTGCCCCGCAGAGCGATGTTAATCCGTTCCAGGATTAACGTCACTATCTGGAAACATCGCTAAACGGAACAAAAAACCCCATAGGAACACATTAAACCCTGTTTAATGCGTTCCTATGGGGCAAAAACTCACCGTTCAGCAAAGATCCTCCATAGGGGCAGCCATTTTCGGTGCCTCTTAAGTGAGGAATCCGTCCAGAAAACAGCAGGTGGCCATTTTGAAACCGCCAATCAGCTGTTTAAAAAGCATTTCTTTGTTATGATCGGTTCCCCAAGCAGGGAATTGATCATGGCAAAGCACCGCCAGCCAGCCAGCCAGCAGCCTGGGAGACACTGGGCGTCCTTGAGCACTCCTTCGGAGGCTCCCACCGCTCAGCTGGGGGAAAATGGTGCCTATGGGGAAAACATCGCAAAGCGATTTTTCCCCATAGGCAACATCGTTATACGATCGCAAAAGCGATGGCAAAAATGCCATCGCTATGCGAATTCATCGTTAAACGGGGCACTCGTTGTACGAGGCACCACTGTATTCCAAACAGCTGTAAAAATTTCTCTCCTCCTTTGCAACCAATCACTACTTCCTGGTTTCTTCTTTCGGAACTCTTGGGTGAACCATCCAAACCCATTACCTTAGGCTCTTGCCAATGAAAACAGATTTTTTAAAAGTTTATAATCAGTCAGATGAGCTAGTAAGCTCCTTGCATTGCTCATTGACCAACCATATCTTACATTTCATAAAGATAAGGTGATTCCCAGATTAGATGTCATATTCCTCCCAGAGGTGGTGTCATCCTTTCACCTATCAGGATATAATTCTCCCAACATTTAGCTATCAATACTGTTAGAGAGGTCACTTCATATTCTAGATGTGTGCCAGGCCCTCTCTTTTTAGTTGTCCTGAACAGCTTATTTTCAATGTATACATTTTCTCTTCATTTGCCACAGGGCAGGAAAAAAACCCTCTTCAAATGGATTGGGGCTATAATTGTTCTCTCATATGAGCTTGTGGGCACACTTTTACCTCCACAAATTAATCCACACTCTTCTCAAGCTACAGTGACACCTACTGCTTTACTTAGTGAGGAACACCATTGCCAGATATTTGTTGCACTGCCACATGGTGACAACCATCAATATTTGTGCAGCATTACGGGTTGGATGCATGATCCAGGAGCAATGCACATTTTGGCAGAACTGTTTTGTTGGCAGTTCTTCACTGACTGACATTCGTTCTCATCCAGAAGTAAGATTGTTCTCCCCTCCCACAAGAGTGAATCGCGGATCCTGTGCAAGACAGGTTGCTTACCTGTAACTATTTTTTCAGGTGGTCATCTGTGAACTCGCACAACCCTGATTGTTGTCTGATTGTTTCTATGCTTATATGGTGAACATGGAACTGAGAGGAAAATAAAGGGAAACACTGAAATATGTGTACTGAGGAGAGGTGGGACTCTCAATGTTCAGCTATGGTAGATTGCAGAATTGAGTTGCACAGCTGTAGTGAACTTATAGGTGTGAGTTCACAGATAGCCACTCAAGGGTATAGCTGAACAACCTGTTCTTTCTGAAAATTGGGTCTTGGGTGATTTTTGTGGATGCTATGGCCTGAATGTTCAATTCTTCTTGTTAAGCACAGTGGATGAACTAGCGTGGATATATTTGGATATTTATTATATGGATCTGGCTTTCCTTTATTACTGATGACTATTTAACAGATATATTTTCTCCACAGGGCAAGCTCTCTGACCAGGTTTACAACTATCCAGAGGGTTTAGGAGAAGTGCTTTATCGAGAACAGTTCGACTTCAACGCTGAGCCACCTTGGGAACCTAGCTGATGATAGTAGGGTTCCATCTCCTAACTTGTCCATGTAAGTTTAACTTTATCTTTATTTTTCATAAAGATAAGATAGTTCCCAGAACAGACATTTTGCTTTACTTTTTGTTATAACTCTGTACAGAACAGATCTTTCTATCTTAACAAAAAGCAGTTGCTCAAAGTGTAGGAGACAGTTGGCAAATCTCTTGTGGAAAATTATGCCATATGATGTCCTTATCTGACAAAGAGAACTTTTAATTTAACTTTATTGAAAACTCCCACCCCATTGTCTGAGGTTCCCTAGGGCAGTGGTTCTCAAACTGGGGTCTCCAGATGTTCTTGGACTGCAGTTCCTAGAAGCCTTCACCACTTGCTGTGCTGGCCAGGATTTGTGGGAATTGCAGTCCAAGAACATCTGGGGACCCAAGTTTGAGAACCACTGCCCTAGGGATTCCTTTTGTCCTGGGAAAGTCCTTAGAAGCCTCAGGATGGAGTGGAGGAGCCTTTAATAGCAAGCAATTAATGAGGGTGAAAGAGGAGAGCACCAAAAATGGTCTGAAGCTCAAAAAAAAAAAAAAAAAAAAAAAAAAAAAAAAGCCACCAGAGTGATCCCTCTATTGGTGGTGATTTTTCAATATTTTAAGGCTCTCTGCTCATTCCAAGACTCTTAAAAAGTTCACCAGGGCAAAAAGGAACCTTGGAACCTGAAAGGGGGTACAAGAAGCAATTAAAAATCCCTTTGACGGATCATGATGTTATTCAGCTTGTGTGATATAACTTTGAACCAACAAGATTTTATCTTTATCTGTCACTTAGCTCAGTTCTATCTTCTTTTCTAAAACTTATTTTCCTTTTGATTGTTCCAAAGAAAAATAGAAAAGTATGAAAGCATGGTCGTAGTTCAAGACAGCATTTATGTCAACATCTTTTGAGTAATACTGGTTCATATTTTCATATTTACTGTATTTCTGGGTCATAGGATTTGCTTATTATAAATTCCCCCATGTTCAATTTTGTTTGTGTGCTAGCTAAGACAATGAATTATCTAATTGATGTGTTGTGCATAAAGAACCACTATTAGGTCTCAAGTGAGCACTTCAGTTGTAGAATATGGGATCTAAGGCACGTCTTGTGTGAAGTGACATAAGTGTAAATTATTTAACTACTGCAAATTATTGGATTCATGATTGGACAGGAGTTATGTACCAGTTAAACACCTTTGAAATGATGGTAGGAGAGAAGTAGATAATAAATGGCTACTGTATTTCTGCATAGTATTGCCATAAGTCTGTTTTAATTATATTTTAATCATTTTATTTTTTATTGTATTTTAATTATTGTAAGCCGCCCAGAGAGCTTTGGGTAGAGTGAGCGGCATATAAGTTAAATAAATAAATGAATAAATAATAAATAAATAAAGTCAGAAATAGCTTGATGGAACATAGCACTTGTATCACAAGTAAATGTTGGCCTTATGAATTGTTGTCCATCCTGAAGACAATTTAACATTTAGTTCCTTCTGTCATCCCAAGGTGTTTCTGTAAATTGGTTGAGTAGTACCAAGGTGTTCTGGCTTTTATTTTGCATTAAGATTTTCCAGTACTGTGTATAAATATTTTAGATGAGTCATCACTAGTAAATTAACCTTAATCAAGTAGCTCCATATGCATGCTTACCAGCAAATATGCTTGTGTCTTAGGTGTGCCTAAGCTTGAAGAGCATTGGCACACCCTGATGTTTTGTATGTGTGTTTTAGCTGACTAATAAGTGCCCTGGAGTTCTGCTATAAAATGATTTATTGAGGAAAAAGTCAATTAAACATAATGAGTTTACCTGGAACAGAGTATTAATTAAAATTGGCTTGCCTGGGTGTATATTTAAATTTGAAGCCTTTTCTGTCTCCACCTTCACCTGATACTTTTCCACAAGAGAAACTGCTTTTGTTCTTTCCCTCTGGAACCAGTATGCCCCACCTTGTTTTTGCAAGCAGAGATTACTGGATCAGGCTGTTTTTTTGAAGAATTTGCTTTATGAGCGCACATGCCTTCTCACCCTTTTGGAAGATTATATGGCAGAGTGGCCTGAACATAAGTTTTAGCCAAGAACTACAGTTGGATTCACTAATAGCTGGCTGGAAAATTAGGAACATGGTAGTTGATAATTGGGTTTTTAAAAACCCTCCTCACTTTCATTTAGTGAAATCTGTAGCTTTAAGGTGGTTTGATTGTCTTTTTACAAAAATGTTCTCTTTTTTCATAATTCTTGGTTAAAAATAAAAGTAATATGAAAGAACTGTCTTGGGTGGTAGCCTTGATAATTGTATCTGATTGACTACGAAGAAATGCCTGCAAAAGAGTCTGGGTGGAAGTTGATATTCTGTCCCCAGCTGTTACTTGAGACTTCAAAAATTTTAAGACTGATCTAGATATTAAACAAAATGGCATTGTGGAGGTTTTTGTGGCACTGTTTTACTTGAAATCAGTGGTTCCCAACCTTGTGTAACCCATGTGTTCCTGGACTGCAACTACCAGAAACCCCAGCCAGCACAAATGGTAGTGAAGGCTTCTGGGAACTGTAGTCCCAAGAACATCTGGGTTACCCAAGTTTGGGTACTACTGCTTTAAATCATAGGCTGAGGCTGCATTTTAAAAAATGTTAGTTTATTAAAAGCAGCAGTCTTCTTAAATGGGGACAACTAGCATACTATGGGAATCCTAGGCTAGAATCCCCATCCACATGTCCAGTTGTGAGTTTGCTTCCTGCAACGATTGTCCCTCTATAATCCTGTATAAGTGGTACAGTCACAGAAAGATTTTACTATATGATTTAACTGAGCCCCATAGCTAGGCTTAATGATCTGTTTGCAAAATTAAATTAGTAGTATGTTTGCATTTCTCTTCTGATTTGGGGGCAGGGAAAGGAGAAAAAGAATGGAGGAGTAAAAACGTTTTGGAAAATTCTGTGCTATGCTATTTGTACCAACTGATGTTTTCATTATGCTTTCTGTCAAACAGTTTGTTGCATAATTTAAGAACCCAGCTCTAAGGCTTTGGCTTTGTGGCTCATCCCTTGTGCTTCTTGGTTTATGACTGTCGGCTTTGCGGAATACGGCTGAGATGAAAGGATTTCTTGAGGACGCAAACTACTCCATTGGCTTACTGGATGAAGGAGTACATGTTGGAGATGTCATTGACAGCTGCATTTATGAACATACTCTTGTAAGCTATTTCCATCACCCTATTTTTATTGTCCACTTTAAAGTTTGTGTTTCATCCACTGGTAAAGTCTCACAACTGGGTCTTAAGTGTCACTGTTTACTAGAAGGAAATCAATGGGTTTATTTTTTTATTTTAAACTACAACATAAAATACATAAACCAAAATACAAATCAGTTGTATTCCCCACCACCCTAGTTGGGACCTCTTGCAATAATCTTTTTCTTCCATTGTCTTTCTTCTTCTTTTATTGCTCTCTTCTCCAGAACTGCACTGGTTCCTGGTTTGGAATTTTCCCTTTTCCTTTTGTTAGCACATATTCAATAAATCTGCCCCATATATCAGAAAAATTATTATTATTTATCTCTCCTTTCTTGACCTTCAAGTTAGAAGTTAATTTATTATTTATAGCAATGTTCCATATTTCATTATACTGTACCATTCTTCCATTTGAAATTAACAATTGGGTCAACAATTAAAAAGAAAAGAAATAAAACATTTCATCTATGCCATTGGCATTCGTACTTTGGTAAGCTTTTTACTCTTAACTGTAAATTAATTTTTCTATTCTAGACTGGAAAAAATGCATTTTTTGTTGGTGATCTGGGAAAACTGATAAAGCAGCACATCCGTTGGCAGAATGTGATGGCACCAATAAAACCATTTTACAATGTGAAGTGTAACTCCACCCCAGGCATACTTGAGATACTGGCAGCTCTTGGTACTGGATTTGCTTGTTCAAATAAAGTAAGTATTTTATTTCTTTCTCCTTGTATTCCAAACCTTTTAAGCAGATTGTTGTCTTTCTGATACAAATTCATTTCTTAAGAAGTGCTTTAAAGTAGTTCCATCTTCAGACATTAGATGGCTGGTGATTGGAGATAAGTCGATGGCTGCAGTGATGGACTGGTTATAGAGCACCAGAACATTATGCTAACTGGATGGGTGGAAGTTGGTATGTGAAGATACTGTACATTTTCTTTCTAGGGAAGCTTATGCCAGTGTGAAAGCAACTTGTATTGCTCCTGGTTCACGGCAGAGACCAGCATGATCATTCTTTTAGGATTGCAAACATAAAGAGAATGGTCATCTCAGTCTTTGCTGTGAACCAGGAGCATTAAGAGGGCCATTATTTTAGTAATAAAATACTTCAGTTTGGCATTGAATTGTCTTAAACATACTAGAATTTTTGTGAATCTTAGATGCTTGATGGAAAGATGGGATATAAAAGTATTTAAAAAAGAATAGGGTAAGTGTGATCATAGTATTGCTGTACAAAGCAGATCTGATCATATGTATGTTATACTGCTTATATGATACAATTTAGAAACTCAAGATTCTGCTTTACTCAAACACACCTGTTTATCCTAGTATTGTCTACTGACTGGCAGCAGCTCAAGTGTCTCAGGCAGAGTTGTACTCATCTCTTGCTATATGATTGTTTAACTGGAGAGAATATGGATGCACCTTCTCCCTTCTCTACAGAAAGACATGCAACTTAAAACTGAATTATACTCACTGTGGTATATAGTATCTACATACCTTTCAGAATATTTATATACAATTTCTGAAGATCTTATCTCAATTACTTGGGTTCAACAAAATCTAGACCACCACCTTTTTATCGCATTATGATGTCAAACATCAGTCAATGATAGCTTTTTACCAGAGCAATTTGATGTCATATTTAGACAGTACATATGAGTAGGACAGTGTACAGAATGGCAAGCCCAAATGAGCATCTGTCAAAAGCATTTTAGGTCCCATCATAAGAAGAAAAAGAATTGTGCTCGCTTTTGGTGTCTGGAGATAAGTTAATCTAAGGAGGACTATTCTAAGCCAGTAGTTCAGGCTGTAAACTTAAACTAAAATTTGATAAATTTGAATTAATTAAAAAACTATTTAAAATGTTTTGAGTAATTTTTTATCTTAAAAAACCTCATGATCTCCAAATCTACTTGACAGCTTTCATAAGCCTTAATAACTTTGTTTCTCTCTCTCTTTTAGACTGAAATGACATTGGTTCAAGACTTGGGCATTTCTCCTGAAAACATTATATACACAAGTCCTTGCAAACAAGCTTCTCAGATAAAATATGCAGCAAAAATTGGAGTTAATATTTTGACATGCGACAGTGAACTAGAATTAAAGAAAATTGCTAGAAATCACCCAAATGCAAAGTAAGTATAATTGTGTTCATTTATTTAACAGTGTGGGAATTTAAGTTGGAGTATTATATTTTTGAAATACCTTTTGGTAAAATAGCCTCCCTTAAGTGCTCTAATGTGCATATTTTTAACTGAAAATGTTTGTGTGTATGTGCTTTAGTCCCCAGTGTTATTTAGATTTACTTAGGATTGCAGTTTTAATCTGCTGCCATTAAAGATTTTGCTAACTTTCACTGAAATTGTTTTATCAGGATACCTTAAATCTTCCTTGATTTAGAAGCTGCTGTTGGCAAGGTTATATGAACAGACTGTATTAACACTAAAATCTATGTCTTATCTAATCTATTCTCTGCTTGGAACCTAAGCATCTTGATGGATGTATAGAACATGCTTGTTCAAATAACCATCTGTGAGGATTGCTTCAGAATGGCTTAAACTGGTCCAGAATGTCTGGTGGGATGGGGGGGGGGAGCAAGTGGAAATCCAGAACAGGCTGCTATAATGCTGTGTACCAGAATGGTGGTGTTGTGCCAGCAGTGCATATCAAGTTTTCTTCTAGATTACTTGGGTAGCATCAGCATTAAAGGAAGAACAAAAGTATGGCAGAGGATTATCTAAAGCAGATAAGCCAGTTAGTGGTAAGTACTTGCCCCTTTGAAATAGCAGAATTCAAAGGATGCATGTCAACCTCTGGCTTGTTTCAGTTGCTTACAGTTCTGGCAGACTTCCTTGGTCTAGAATGGAGTGGGCAGCCTCCAGATACCTAGAGCCCACATATGCCTTGGAGGGCCTTACCCATGACTCCCTTCCAAAAAACAAACCTGTTATGGTTGGATTTGTTAATGGAAAAAGCCTCCATGCGCCATCTAGTGCCCAAATTTATTTATACAGTATATGCACACATACTGTATACACAGTATACTAATTTCTAAAAACTAGTATTGCCTCCACCCCCTCGAAAACATGACAAAGTTTATGAACCTCATATTTTTTTTAAAAGGTTTCCATTTGGGGTCACGGGATGATGTGGAAGTCACATCTGAGATCCTGGGGCCCATAGGTTGCCAACCTCTTTAGAAAGAAGAGTTGTTCAAGGCAATGAATGCTTCATTTGGGTGCCTACTTCTGACTCAACTACTGTCAAAAAGGGTTGTTGTAACTAGATGCTCCTGTAAAGGGGCAATGACTGCCACTTTTTCACCTCTCTTAAGAACCTATCATTTGTCTCCTGACTTATCCTGCGTTATGAATGTACTCTATGAACTAAAGCTTAAGGCTAGATATTTGGATATTAAAATAAAGGGAATAATGAGTGTAGTTGCACGTATTTAAAGGCACATATGCAATGAATACTGTTGACCTCATTTTTGGATACTATGACACACCTTAAAGTTTAGGTAGCATCTTCAGCCAAGATGAGAATTTATTCCTTTTTCAGATGACAATGAGGAAGTTACTTATACAATCTTTCTTGTCAGCTGTGCAAATTATTTGACAGCTAGCACTGCTGTTATTGACATATGTGGTTTTCACAGGCCTCTGAGTGCATCTGGTTACCAGAGTAAGCTGTGGTAAACTTGCACAAAGAATGGCATGCAGGTATTTTGTGTGCTCTGTTCATTTGTTCAAACTTCTGATAGTAATACTGGCAATTAAATGACACTCAGGTTTGAAAGAAATAATCTTCTGTTCAGGAAACCAAATTCTTATCATGTTTTTAGCCCTCCCCCTTCCAGGTAAAGTGTAACATGCCTTCAAAGGATATGCTCCCTATCAGCAAATTCCAAGGCAAGTAAGGACTGAAGTGAATATAGCTAGTAGAAATGCTTGAAGTATTAGTACCTAGTAGGAAGAAAGATGTAATGTATCCTCTATTTCATATCAGCCATTTTTAAAAAACCAACAATATCCCATTACCAGCCATTTTAAAACATGCAACAACTTGAATGTCCCTCAGAGAAGCCTAGGATGACCACAGCTACTTCCAAGGTAATGTATTTTTATTACAGCATTCGACTTTCTGCTGCAACAGAGTCTTTAGCTGCTGCATTTCCAAACCTCTTATCCTTTTTGACTCCGTATTTTAGGCCCTAATGGCTAGTTTTCTCTCTATACAGGATTGTTTTTATTAGGTTCACTTGACTCGTCCATCGACAGAGCTGGAGTAATGGCAACATAATCAACATACTTCTGACAGTCTTCAGGCTTCACATGTGCTGATGCTGCTGTAAACCAACTGTGCCCCAATCATCTTCCCCTTCTCTTAGGCTCTTGCTTCATATTGCCACAGAAGATAATAATGGAGATGAAGAGATGAACATGACGTTTGGTACCTCCCTGAAGAACTGTCGGCATCTTATGGAATGTGCAAAGGAACTGAATGTCCAAATAATTGGTGTTAAGTGAGTAGGTTTGTCAAGTTTCCTGCGGCTTGTCATTGCTATGTTGCAGCTTTGAATATAAAATAGCAGTAGATTTAGCATTTATTTTACCCATAACTGCACTTCCTGTTGTATGTCTTACACCATAGTAAAATGCTGTTTAAGACATTGCCTTGTTTCTTTTTTGTGGAACAACTAAAACCAGAAGAGAATATGGGAAATAGTTGTTGTGGGTTTTTCGGGCTCTTTGGCCGTGTTCTGAAGGTTGTTCTTCCTAACGTTTCGCCAGTCTCTTAGCCGGCATCTTCAGAGGACGGGAGTCAGAACTCTGTGCAGTGATTACCGGTCCTTGAAGCTTCAACAAAAAACAAGAAAGTTTAAAACTCAACAAAGCCTGGCTCCCAGCTGAAAAATACAGCCTGCAAAAGGTCAACGAACTCTACCCAGCTACAAGGACTCATGATCACTGCACACAAAAGAGCAGCTAACGACAGATAGTCTCTCCCTCTTATCACAACAATACACCCCCAACAAAAAACTCGTTGATCACCACAATCACCCATCCCCTGAAAAGGACAAAAGCTGATCCTACAGCTAAAATACTCAACTATCCAAACAAATTGCACCAGAGCACAGACAGACTTTTGACTCCTGTCCTCTGAAGATGCCGACCACAGAGATTGGCGAAATGTTAGGAAGAACAACCTTCAGGACACTGCCAAAGAGCCCGAAAAACCCACAACCATCAGATCTTGGCCGTGAAAGCCTTCCAGAATACAGAGAAAATGAGGCTTGAGCTCTTCAAGGAAATTGATTTTAGAACAATTAAAATAGTTTTTACCATAAACACATCAGGATGTTTTTTTCTCTCCCTGCCTTTTAAAGTTTTTCTTCTTCCTGTCTTTTCAAGAGATTTTTGTTTCTATTACACAATAACATGAGCCATTTTTTCAAAGGCTTTCAAAATAATTAGCTAATAGGACTATGGAATTCAGTATATATGGCAGATGAACTTAATGTAACAGTTCAAGCCTTAAAGGGATAGATCTTTGCTGATTACTCTTAGCAATGTATAGGTGTTAAATAGAGAGGAAACCTAGAACATGGCCATTTTCTTTATATTTTATCTTCTGTCCAGTATATCTTCTTACAATAACTTAAATATGTGATGCTCTCAGTATTCAAGAAGTTACAGTTTTCAAATATTACAGTATCTTTCCCGAAGTAACAGCTGACATATTTTCTCTAAAAACTGTAAGTGTGGATTAGGACATTCAAGTAAAATTATCTTTCACTGCTAACATGGCCTGCTTTTTGCTAAACCCTCCTTCTGACAAGTCATTATTGATTTTGTGTACATGAAAGTTCATCATATCATTACCTACCAAGGAAGCCCATTGTTTTCAGTGGGTGGTACTTGTAAGTATTTTTATTATTATAATTGGTTTCTTTAGTTTGCTGGGCAGTAGGAAATGGGCTTGACTTCATGAAGTTTTCAACTTTTTTTTCCTGAATTTTAAGCAATACTAAGGAACAAAAATGGTTGATATTGCTGTGAACAACGAATATAACTAGAATGATTGATCTGTTCAGGCAGTACTTCATCCCTTGGGTGGCAGTAGAAGTTGGCCCATGCTTATACACCCAGCTTTTCTCGGAATGAAAATGTATGTGCCTCGAGTTTCTCAAAGGTTTGAATTATCTAATTTTCTCAGAATATCTGAATGCATTGGGGAGGAGCCATATTTAAATACAGGTGCTGCACTTCTTAATCCTGGAAAAATAAAACAGTGCTTTCTTGGCTGCACAGCCTGCTATCTCTTGGATAAAATCCCAAGGTCAAAGTACTGCCTGAACAGGAGGTATTTGGGTTGTCTTCCAGTTATCACTTGTTTAGTAAAGGGTATTTCCCCCCCTAAACCCTTGCAATTAGAATTGTTTGGGATGCTACATAAAGTTGATGAGGTAAACAGAACCAGACAATTGTACATTATGTAAAATAACATGCTTCAACATTTGTGTTTGCAAGAGTGATAAAATATTGTCTCATAGTTTGAAAAAGAATATCCCTTAGAATCATCAGCAGATCTCCTGTTTAGCTAGATGTAATGATCTTTATAGCAATGTAATTTTTTTCTCTTTTTGAATTTTAGATTTCATGTGTCAAACTCTTGCAAGGAACCTCAAGTATACAAACATGCTATTTCTGATGCTCGCTGTGTGTTTGACATGGCTGTAAGTGAAATACTTCACCTGTTATATTGTTTCATATGGTAAAATTATTAAGATAATACCAAGACACTGTGTTATTTGTTCTAAATATGCTAAAGCCCCTTTGTAATGTTAAATTTGGGGTTTCTATCCAATCACAAAATAATTTGCATCCCTGCATAAAGAAGAGGTGCAGTGATTAAATGTGCTGTCTTGTGTGTTTAAGACTAGATATGGAAGCTTTATATTCGTATCCACTGGAATACAAATATGAAGCTTGGCACCCCAGGTGCCATGGCAGTCTATTCCCACCCACCCTGAACCAGTCCAGTCTCCTCACAGTGTACATGTTTGGTGGCGGCGACATTGCACCAATTGCGGTGTTGCCCTGCCTTGCCCATCTCCACAGCTGACCACCCCAGCAAGGAGGCAGGAAGACAAGTCTCCCCGCTCAGGTGCTGAGTGATTGGCTGAGGAGAGACATGGGGCAGCACCAGTGGAAATATGTCCACAATTGGTGCAGTGTCACTGCCATCACATGGAGGTGCTGCAAGGAGCCCAGTCAGTGGATCAGGCTCATTCTGGGGGGCAGGAGAGGACCGCCATGGTACCTGTGGTGCTGAGCTTCATATTTGTATCCTGTACACTGGATATGAATAAAAAGCTCCCATGTCTATTTGAGACCTAGGCTGATAACACCTATGTACCTTTGACAGCCAAGTTAAGTTACAATATATATTCTTTTAATTATACAAGCTTACATCTGTTGAGAGTGATAGCAGGTGTAGGGCGCTTCTTGTTCAAGAGAACAGTTTCTGCAGATTTTTTGCAGGGGTGGGCGGGCTTATAATCCTCCAAGTCAGATCCCATACCATTTTGGAGAGTACCCCAATCCACAGTTCTTAGAAGATGCAGGGGACTGCAGTGGGAGAAATAAGGTGGGAAAGCCACATTCTGGAAGAGCTCTACTTGATGTATATTTGATTCAAGCTATTGTATTTGCTGAAGTTTATTCCAGTGTACAATTGCAGGAGTTGCTGATTTATTATGTAATAGTTCTTATCTTTTTACTGCTTCAATTATAACAACACTTGAAACAAGTTACTCAAGTCGTTAAAAAGCTCAATATTGTAAGTGCATGTTTTAAGAAATGAAAATAGTAAGAAATAATCTTGTAGACTGTCTGCCAGCCTTTTGCATTTCTATTTCAGGAAGAATTTGGTTTTACTATGAACATGTTGAACATTGGTGGTGGTTTCACAGATTATGAACTTGATCTAGAAAAGGTATGTAAGTCTGTTGTGGGTCCTTCCTGTAGGAAGGGTCTGTCACTTTTGGGTAGCTGAGACTTATTATGGTAGCTATAAACAATGAGATTTCTATTGAGTGATTTTACTGATACGACATTGGGGTCATTCAGGCCCCAATCAACGTGAATCCTTCTAATCGAAATGTGAGAAAGGGATTCTAAGTGAGCCCAACATGGTGAATCTTAGTATTTTACTTTTTCACTGTGGCATAATTGTTTGAAAAGATAGACTTATCTGAGGTCTTTCTGACCATAAGTGCAGATTAGAAAAGCTTATTTTATAACTGTAGGAGTGGTGAAGAATAGCTAACAGTGTTTTGGGTTGATTCAGATATAATGCTAAACAATGCGTTAATGCTGAGAGAAAGTACATTGGGATCACCCCCACCTTCTACTCCAACTCTCCTTTAGTGCACCTGTGAGGAACAAATAAAAACTGCTTGCTTTCCTCTGTGCCTTGATTCTGGATTGTTTGAGCCAACCAGAGGGTGAGCGGCATATACTCCATTTGTGCAGTCCAGTGAATGTTGTCCTCTTCTGAAAATGCCACCACAACCAAAAATACTATTATTTCTCCCGCAACTGTTTCTTCTCCTCGATCTCCATGCCAGCTAGAACTCCTGAATGTGCAGCTGTTTCTGTAGCTTGTGGTGCTTCTGATCTGTTCACTAGAAACCTATGATGCATTCTGTTTTGCATTCATGGAGGTTTATAGTACAAGAAGGTCCTTGCCCAGGATAGCTGCCAATATACTAGCAACTGTCAGTAGTGCTTTTGATGCAACATTCCAGTGTATGAGGAAGGAGGAGTGGGTGGAACTAACAAAATAAAAAGGAAATACTGTGCAAGTGAGAGCACAGTAGTAGTGATAAATATATAATAAACTTCTGAAAAGGGAAGCAAAACTTGGAAAGGTATAGTCTGACATGAAGCAAATCTTTCTGAATAAAGCTTCAAAACTCCGCAGATATTATCTTCGTAGAAGTTCTATCAGGCTGTATTTCAAATTTCTGTTAGATGAGAAATAATTACTTAATTTTTAAAATTATGAATTCAACCAAACTAAAAATAATCTACCGTAGTACCTGCTGTGTTGATAAGAACATGAAGGGAGTCCCATCATGATGGGAAATGATTGGATAGGCTTATTACCCTTCATGAAGCAAGTTGTAGTAGTCGTTTTTCCCTTTCTTGCTTTAGCCTTTGAGTTTGCTGGTCTCATATTAATGTAAGAGCAAATTTAATGTTTGAAATAAAGATACAAAATTGCAGGTTCTAACCTTGGTAAACATGTGGTTGTCCCTCTTATTTTTTTAGGTTAATCATGTTGTCAGTCCATTGCTTGATACCTATTTTCCTGAAGAGTCTGGTGTAAATGTGATTGCAGAGCCTGGATGCTATTATGTTTCATCTGCATTTACTCTTGCAGTTAATATAATTGCAAAGAAAACTATTCAATCAGCTGAACCTCTTCTCTCTAAATGTAAGCAAAATCTGCTGCACACAAAGTGCTACAGAGATAGCCAAGAGCTCTGCTTTGGATCTTTGCTAAAAGTTAAGCCTTTCATCAAAGAGCTTCCTCTTGTAGGCTTTTAGAACTTATATGTATTTGTTTCATATTTAGATACTGTTAATCTCACAAGGTGAATTACATATAAAAATATTAAAATCATTAGGATTAATTTAGCTTTAGAAATGATTAAAGGCAACCTAAGGGAAAATATTTTTGAAAATATATTGTCAACAGGGCTAAATTGTTCTTCAGTAGCCTTGTGGTGACAGGTTTGAGCCTGAACACTAGGAACTATATTTGGCCTTTCTTTGAAATGGACATGTTTTTGCTTAGTTAGGAAGGGGAGTGACACAGAAAACCCAATTCCTCTGTCTGAGATTTGGGGCGATAATCTGGTAAACTCACTAGGTTTAGCCAGCTGGAATCAGATTATAGTAAAAATATCTGATGGTTGCATTTCTGCTCTGCTGATGTTGCGAGTCCTTGTTTTTTTAAAAACTATTTTAGATCTAGGACCTGCTTTATTCCCATAGATATGTACTGTTCTTCGTGGTCTTGGGATGGGCAGCACTCTCCAGATGGTACTGGACTTTCCATCTCTCACTATTGACTATGCTGGGTAGAACTGAGAGAAGCTGCAGTCTGGTATCTGAAGGGTCACATACTCCCTACCCCTGCTGGAGGGTTGATCTTCACAGCTGAAACATTAATATTTTGCCATAATTTGTTTTGCTAAATCATATTGAGGCCACATTCCACTATAAGAAATTGGGAAAACGTTTTTTATTTCAAAGTTTACCATAGCTTAAATAATTACACATTGAGATAAATAAAGAATAACTCAAGTCATGTCTTGCTTCTAATACTCTTTTAAACATTGTTCCCTTTTTATCTGCGTGTTCCATGTGCTCCTAGAAAACTTGCACAGCTTTAAAAAAGAATGTAAATGTGCGGCAAAACTTGTTCTTTAAAATATGATTTTTTTTTAACCACAGTGAAACAAACCCAGAGTGATGGGCAAGCCTTCATATACTACATGAATGATGGTATTTATGGTTCATTTGCAAGCAAGTTATCTGAGAATTTGACTACTATTCCCGAGGTTCACAAGGTGAGACCACCTTTACAAGCGGAGATTCTGAAGCATCTTTCTTTGTATTGAATAACTCTTTTAAGGCCATTTTGAGTGCAAAATTCTGTAGTTGCTACTTTTACTGCCCTCTCATGCTAAATGCCATGCATACACATAAATCTAACAGTCAGAATGCTTTTTTATGCAGAAATACAAGGAAGATGAGCCTCTATTTGCAAGTAGCCTTTGGGGTCCATCCTGTGATGAGCTTGATCAAATTGTGGAAAACTGTCTTCTTCCTGAGCTGAGCATTGGAGACTGGTTGCTGTTTGACAATATGGGTTCTGGTACTTTGGGTGAACAGTCTGCCTTTAATGACCTCCAAAGGCCTCCGATTTACTACGTAATGTCAGTCAGTAGCTGGTAAGTTTGCATTTCTGAATTAATTAATAAGTTGTATGAGATACTGTATTTAGTTCTTAATGAGAAAATATAGACCTCAGCATTATATTTTAGTAGTATGAGAAAATCTCAGAATTGTTACAGGATGTCTTATGTGTAGATTCAGACAATTGGACTGGGGTTTCTTTGGTTTTTTTGTTATTTTATGGTCAGATGCTTGTGTGTATCTAGAGGTGGTACAGTGAGTACAGTGCTGGCAGAAACTCATGTTCAAATCTTCAATCAGTGTGAAGCTCATGGGGTTCTCTTTAGACAAGTAGGTTTTCTTCAGCCTTACAAATCTCTCACAACCCCCCCCCAAACCCTACTTGTATCTCTACTTTGTGCACATATTGAAAGATATGCAGAAGCTATACCATTAGGCCTTGCTCTGTAAAGGTCGGTTGACATGCTGGTTCATCTCAACACATATCCAAGTACAGTGGTGCCTCGCATTACGATGTTAATTCGTTCCAGTGAAATCGTAAAACGAAAACGTTATAATGCGATTTTTAAAAGTCCATAGAAATGCATTAAAACCTGATTAATGCGTTCCTAGGGGCTTGAAACTCACCGTCCAGCGAAGATCCTCCATAGCGCGGCCATTTTCGCTGCCTGTGCAGCAAGGAATCCGTCCCAGAAAACAGCGGGCAGCCATTTTTTTACCCGGTGGCCATTTTGAAACCGCCGATCAGCTGTAGGAAAATTGTTGTTTTGCGAGAATCGGTTCCCGAAGCAGGGAACCGATCATTGCAAAGCGAAATTCCCCCATAGGGAACATCGTTTTGCGATCACAAAAACATTGACGTCTAGCAATTTCGTCGTCAAATGGAGCGCCCGTTAAGTGAGGTACCACTGTAGCCTCATACATCTGTAGTTTGAAACCGCCGATCAGCTGTAGGAAAATTGTTGTTTTGCGAGAATCGGTTCCCGAAGCAGGGAACCGATCATTGCAAAGCGAAATTCCCCCATAGGGAACATCGTTTTGCGATCACAAAAACATTGACGTCTAGCAATTTCGTCGTCAAATGGAGCGCCCGTTAAGTGAGGTACCACTGTAGCCTCATACATCTGTAGTTTTTTAAAAACTTACTTACTTACTTACTTACTTACTTACTTACTTACTTACTTACTTACTTACTTACTTACTTACTTACTTACTTACTTACTTAAAAGACCACTCTAGGCGGCTTCCAATATAATATAAACAATAAAATAATACAAAAATTACAAAAACCGTACTATAACATGCACAATACAAAAATAAAGTAGGAAATAAATAGAGAGAATAAACAGAAGATCAGGTATTGGCTGGAGGGAAGGCCTGAAAGTATAGCCATGTTTTTAATTGACTTTTAAAGGTGCCCAGAGTGGGGGCAGCGCGAATCTCAGGAGGGAGATTGTTCCAGAGGCGAGGAGCCACTGCCGAGAAGGCCTGGTTTTGTGTCTTCTCCTTCTGGGCCTCTCTCGGCATCAGGCTCCTCAGCCTCACCTCATGACTCGCACGGGTGATCCGGGTAGACCTTGGTGGAAGCAGGCATTCTGCCAAATATCGAGGTCTGAAACCATTTAGGGCCTTGTAAGTAAGCATTAAGACTTTGAAGTCGACACGGAAACGAATGGGCAGCCAATGCAATGCAGCCAGTGTTGGAGAAATGTGTTGGTGTTTTCTCACTCCCGTGAGGAGTCTGGCTGCCGCATTCTGCACCACCTGAAGTTTCCGCATCAGCTTCAAAGGCAGCCCCACGTAGAGCGCTTTACAGTGGTCTAATCTTAAACACACAGTCTCCATAAGAAGTTCAGAAACCAAAAGAACTCTTCATAACATAGCCACAGTAATGATACATGTAACGATCCCATCTCCCTAAAGAGACAATTATTGCGGCCAGGGAGTCTCTGGGCATAAACCTACCACCTTTATTTCCTGAGATAGGGCCTCTAGGTCAGAAGTCCCCAACACCCAGTCCATGGCCCGGTGCCTGTCTGTGGCCTGGGCCAGACCGTGGAGACAGATCTCCCCCCCCACCTCCACATGCACTCCCCCCACATGCATGTGCGCCTGTGAGAAGCCCCCCACCCCTTTGCACGCGAGTGCACCTCCGTGCCCCTTCATGCATGCACGTGAGCACAGGAGGGTGCCCGCCTTCCCCAACTCTTCTGCGGTGTAAAAAAGGTTGGGGACCACTGCTCTAGGTCTCAGAAGTGCGTAGTAAGCCCTACAGACAAGCCTGAACCTTAAAAGTTACCTTTGATCTGATTCCTAAGCAATAAAACATAGACTTTGTGTTTCTTTAGAATGCACACCAGCCTTACCAAGTAGGACAGTGGGACCTTTTAACTTACAGTAGCAACCATTGACCTTATTTTATCCAAACTGGATTTAGACAGTTTTGCTGTATCAAGAGACTAGATCCTCTGTTTAAGAATTATATTTGTTTTATTAAGAAAATAGTTTCATTAGAATACAGCGTCTAGTGTGGCTGACAAGGCCAATTCGAGAGTGACAATCTCTTCCACACTGAAGACAAATACAATCTGTTGTAGCTTTAAAGAATAAGCATTGAACACATCCATTTGTTACAATGTTTAAATAAACTTACAATTTCTAATTAAAATAAAAACAGCTAAGTAATAATCTTTGCTCTGTGTCCCTACATCTTGACATATAGAAGCTGGGCTATTCCTCCCCCACTTCTTCTTGAAAAGAAGAACAAGCCTCTCCCTCTCACATTCCACAGCATTCACAGACCGCTTCTTTTACATACACAAACCCTCATTTTACATATCTTTAGGACCTCCTCCTTCATTACTCTTTCAAGCTGTCAACCAATTAAGTCCAAGTAGGTGTAATTCAGAACACTCCGATCACCGCCCAAAATTCTCATGATCCAAGCTCCAGGTGTCTTATCTTCTCCCAGTTAGTGGTTTTTGTTGCGTCTCCTCTCTCTGGATGGTCCGGCCTTGTGACTTTGGCAAACAACTCTGCACAACAAGCTCATGAAAAACATCTCTTTCTGAATTCATCTTACATGGAGCCTAACAGACTCCATCTCAGTATATCTACAATTCCCAGTTTCCTTCCAATTCCGTACAGTACAATATCTTTTAATGAGCTGGAACCAACCAAGAAAACGTCATGGTAGCTGAATCTTGTTATAAGGCAATGTGGCTCTTACAGTAGGCTTTACTTTACACGTAGTAGGATAGTACTGTGCTTACAGTAATGTTCCCTTGACCAACAGACATACATCATATCACTATTTCAATATAGTTTTTTGTCTTATCAGACTTGCTATTTTGCAAGGTAATGGTAAGTCATTAAGTGAAAGAAAGGGAACATGTTGATTTAGATCTATGAATTTTATCACAGCTTTTGCAGAGTAACATGCTTTTCTACATAATACACAAATCTCCCAAATACCTGGATACTTTAAATAAGCTAAAATGTAATAATGAAAATTTGAAATTGTTCAAATTCTTTAATAACATACAAAAAATCTTACTCTCCATAGGTTTTCTGATTTCATAGCATAGGTATGGGACACAGTTAAAATTAGTGTGTTTAACTTTTCATATTTGCAGCATTGGCTTCCAAAATTCAGAGCAACACGGAGTCTGAGTATACAATATAAAAGACTGTAGATGTTTGAATATCTCCAAATTACTTTGAATTTTGACATTCTGCTTTCTTGTGGTATTCTTATTGAATGTCTATTTGTTTTTCCATTTCAGGTATGAAATGCAAGATGCTGGGTTCACCTCTGACACACTGATGAAGAATATCTTCTTTGTGCCTTCATGCGTTCAGCTGAGCCCTGAAAACAGTTTTTCCATTGCAGCTTAAACAGGCATTACTGCTTCATTTTAGCCTTGCAGTTGCATGTCTGTAGTCTTGTCTGGTCACAGCATTCCAGTTTGGAAGAAAAATGGAACAATCTTGAATGAATTTCTGAAACTTGAAATTAATTGGGACCAGGCAAAACCAGCTACAACTACAATTCTCTGGGGGAGAAGGGTTAAATAATAATTAAAATTTTAAACATGTAAAATAATGCAATCCCTCAGCATCTAAATAAAATATGCAACAAAATGGATGACTTAGTTGAGATGGAAACCCATCACTTGGGTTCTCTGTTAAACAGTTTACATACAAGTACAGTTTTTATACTAAGGATTTCTGTTAGAAAGTCTTGTAAAGTTGTCTTTTCCCCCAGATATATGAAATGTCAAGGGGGAATCAAGTGTGACTTCATTAGCTATGTTTAGTGTATTTAGAATGTGTAAATTTGTGCTTTGAACTGTAGTTTAATAAATGTAAAATTGCATCATAGTATTTGTTGTATTTCACCCTTGCCGTACCAATCCTTGTTGATTGCAATAAAAGTCCCCATGCCCACCCCCTGCCACTAACACAGGGAAGATGTCTAAGAAGCAATGAGAGTTTAGGTATAGAAAGATGTAAGGTAATTTATTCAAAGTGCTTCACGTGTGAAATTGATAGAACATTAGATCATGCTTAAAACTAAGCTGAAAAGCACTAAATTCAAAGTTGAAGTGCAGTCCATGGATACCATTAAGCACCTGATTTAAACATTTTAACATCAAAATGTTCAAACATTTGAACTAAGAAGCAATCCACAAAGTTAAATTTGTATAGTACTTAAACAGTGGATTGTCTGCTGCTGTTTGTTAGTGGAAACAGTGATTATATGGATGCTTGTGAGTAAGATCCATTCAACTCACAGGAGCTTACCTTCAAAATGAAGATGTATATCATAAAGCTGCAAGTCTCTCACTTAGAAGAATAGCTGTGGTTCCCAGTCTTGGCTGCCAATCCAACTCTGTATAGAGTATTCACTTAAACTGTATTCATATCATATCAGCTAGGTTTAGCAAGCAAACATTGAAGGTTATACTCACTGTTACTTAGATGCTACCATCCTCTGATTGCTCCTTTTTATTTATTTTGCTTACCTTATACAGTAGTCTTGGAAAGTGTTTTTTAAATTACCATGCCAGAATTAATTTGGAAATGGACATTAGTATTCCTAAAATAATTGTGTGATGAGGAATGGGCTGCCAGGTACAAGTTTTTTTTAATGCTAGTGCCAGTTGGCACAAAGTAGTTTTGGTTCAGTGGCCAGAGTCCTGTTGTGTAGCATAAATTCAAAATTGCATAACTGATATGCATGATTGTTCTAGCTAGCTGTTGCATGTTGGGGCATAATGAAGTAATACACCCAGGTGTGCAACAGAGGGCCAGAAAATTGTGAATGCCACTTGTGCTTCATAGAATTTTACAATAGGATTTTGGCCAGTGGAATTAAAATACATTGTTGATAGATGAAGGAGAAAGGGAATATTTCCTTCAGCCCGCTCACACTAAAATAACAGGTACTATATTTGAAACGATTTTCACATGTGTGTATGGTGTGTATTAATAAATCTAATAACCATGAGCAAAAAACTATGGCTTGAGCATTAAAGCACAAATGAAAATTGCAAGCTGTTTAGTTTTCCCTACAATTTTAGACAAAAATAAACCAGTCTTCAGAATTTTGACCAGTATCTGTTGGGTCCATCAGACAAGAAAATGGGGAGCAACTGTCATATCAATCCCCAGGCCTTACAAAAATGTCCAGAAATCTGCTACAAAGTTTTTAGAACTATGTGAGTTTAACCAACTCTTGTTGTAAATGGTACAGTCACCTTGGAAATGTCTGTATTGTATTTGACAGTTTGCCATAAAAATTGGTTTGAACTTGGTATGTATTTGAATTTATATGCTAAAACTTATCTTCTGTTTACAAATTGTAATATCAGTTTTGGAATAATTCAAATATAAAACTGAATGATTTCTATATAGCAAATTAACAAACAGAACTTTTGTCTTGTGTATAGTACTTCATATACTATGAGTGTCTCGCGTAGTGCTCATTTGCACCTAATACTGCAAAATTTTCTCCCCCCAAAATTTGGGTACATTTCTCTCCTTTCCCTAATCATTAAGGCTAGGTGCCCTTCTTGATGAAAGTGCTTGGAAGGTGAGTAAGAAACACATGATAGTATTTGTATCTAAGGCAGGAACTACATAGTGGTCTTGCATTGTTACAATGTAGTTGGAAGAACTGCATCATTACACTGTTCACAGGAATACAGTACAGTACGTAGTACTGCTGTATCCATGGGATCAATACCCATGATTTCACTTACCTACGCTTGAAAATATGAAATAACACACACACACACACCCGAGATACATGTTTCTAAGTGTGATTGGGTTCTTTCATAAGTGGGGGTGGACCCGGGGTTTCGGCGGGAAGAATAGATGAAGCGGTGGGTACAAATAACGGTTATTACATTTAACTTCAGGTACTCCCAAACCAAACGGGTCCAACATTTCTACCTCTGGCAACAGCTTATAACTAACAGTTTCAACATTCTTATTTTCTTTTAAATTCTCCTCACTCCATGAGTATAAGGCATAACTTGGTTCTGCGCAGGAATGCTCAACCCCGCGTATACTACCCCGCAATGGATGTTTCACGTGTGTTCCCTCCAACCTGGGGAGATAAGGGCTGAAACTAGAGGGGGTCTCTTTCATCCCCGAAGCTTGTGTAGGAGAGGCTGCTCCCCAGTTCCATCCCACTTATCTTTCTTAAGAGAGTCCGATGGGGTAGGAAGCAGTCCTCCTCCTGTCATCAAGCTAGGAAAGTCTTTCAACAATTTTGTAAATCTATCCCTATCTTCCCGTCTCCTCTGTCTGTACGCCTCTGTCTTCTTGCTTTGTCTGAGGCTCCTCTTTCCTCTCCTCCTCTTTTATATCATCCCACCTCAAGAGATCTAGCTCCTCCCCTAATTGTTTCTGCCTTCCTTCTGCCAGAAATACCTCGACTGCTTTATTATTCTCTATTCCCCCATCATCAATTTTGATTAGCTCTCTGACAGCGCAGCCCTCGCTCATTCCTGCTTGTTTCTTCGTGGAGGACGGCACACTTCTCGTCTCTCGCTCACACTAAGGTATTACCAGAACTGGCCCACTAGAGGGCTGTGGATACTGTGGTCATATTGTATAAGAAGCTGCACAGCACTGCATTAGTCTTGTGCATCCATAGCCAGTGTTGCAGTCCATTTGGTTCTGGTTGTGGCTGGAACCTTGTGTGCATGGGGTGGGATATCTGCTCAGGGCAGGTGGATAACTAATTCAAGAGCAGCATTTGTAATTAATGTAATTACATTCAATTTTTTCCACCAGCAGAAATCCCACCCTGTGCACACAGGCTGCAACTGGAACCAAATGGGCAGCAACACTGGCAGATGCATGGGACCAATGCAGTGCTGCGTTGCCATACAACCTAGAGGGAACTTGGGGAATCTGCCTTGTAGAGGACAAGCCATTTAACTCTCCGTTCTATGCCCAGCAGTGCTCTATAGGGTCTTGGGTAGGAGAGACTTTCCAAATCCAGTTCTGCTATCTGGTTCATTTAATCAGAAATGCCAGGGAATGACTATTCTATTATGTATTGAAAATATACTGAATGGTGAATAATGGCCTATCTCCTTCACCTGGAACCCTACCCCAATAGACAGTTCTAAATGTAATGATAGTACCATGAAGTTTCAGAAAAATCTTCCAGTGTTCATTGACATGGCTTAAACTTTACAAATTCATTTTTAACAGGAATCATTACAAAGTTTCTGGTGAAGCCTTAATTGTACTTCACTGCAGCCAGCACGTAGCCTTGGATGATGAGTCTTAGACATGCCTTTAATGTTCCAATGGAGCATTACTTTTGCTGGACGTATACTTCTTAAGAGTACAGTTGGGCCTGTGTCATTATTTACTTGTTCACAGTGAAAAAGTAATGTAGGCATAATCTGAACACCATTTCCCTTGACAATTTGTCTAGTCGTATCCGACTCTAGGGGGCAGTGCACATCTCCGTTTCCAACCCATAGAGCTAGCGTTTGT